TCAGCAAACTAGGTCTAGAGGTCCCATTCAATCCACCTATTCCCCTTCTGGGTATTTTCCCACAAGATCTGAAAATAGCATATCACAGTGATATATGTGCACCCATGTTCATAGCAGCGCAATTTGTAATTGCTAAACTGTGGAAGCAACCCAAATGTCCATCCACTGAGGATTGGATAAAAAAATTGTGGTACTTTTACATACTGGAATATTACTCACCTATAAAGAAAGATAAACTCGAGGCTTTTATAGGTAAATGGTCAGAACTAGAGACCATACTCATAAGTGAAATAAATCAGACCTGAATGTGTAAGAATTGTATTGTCTCACTAGTGTAAGACCTGAAGGAGTGAATAAAAACTAGGAGGTATGATAGACATTGTGAAACAAAACGAAAATGCTCAAAAGTAAAGGATATCTGGGGTGTGGGAAAAGAGAGGGGAAAGAAGGGGAAATTATGTAAGTATGTATGTACAGGATAGCTAACATAGTTGTACTACTGTCTTCTATTGCTGTACAGAAAGGAACAGTTAATGAATACTTGTTTCATCAATCTTGTATGTCTCTATTTGTTTTCTTGAGAAAGTACTTTGAAGATATCAGTAAGTAATACAACAACCATTGTGAATTCCCTACAACTCTGTCTGTAACTCTGTTTTGTTTGTGTTGTTCTTATGCTATTTTGTAAGGTGATGTGTGTTTGTTAATATGTTTTCCTTCTTTTAGTTCTTACAATAAAAAAGAGCAATTAAATAAACCAAATTCTTAGCCAACCTGATTAGAAAAGGAAAGACTCAAATCCATACAAGGAGGAATGAAAAGGGTGAAATCACAATGGAATTTACAGAAATACAGAAGATCAGTACCTACTTCAAGAACCTGTACTCTAGTAAGATGGAAAAACACAGAGGAAATGGGCCCTAGGTACATATGAATTACCAAAGCTGAATCAAAAAGATATAAAATTTCTAAATAATCCAACAGCAGTCAATGAAATTGAAGAAGTAATGTAAAAATACTGACAAAGAAAAGCCCAGGTCACGACAGATTCTCTAGTGAATTCTACAAGAAACATAGAGAAGATCTATTATCACTATTCCTCAAACTCTTTAATAAAATTGAAAGGGAAGCAATACTCCCAAACTCATTCCTGGAAGCAAGCCTTACCCTGATACCAAAACCGGAGAAGAATCAAACCAAAAAAGAGAACTACAGGCCTAACTTCCTAGAGGCAAAAATCCTCAATAAGATACTGGCAAATACAATGTAGCAAATCATCAAAAAGACTGTACACCATGACCAAGGAAGACTCTTCCCAAGGATGCAGGGATGGGTCAATATATACAAATCAACAGATGTAATACATCACAGAACCAAGGACAGAAACCCCATGATCACCTCAATAGATGTAGAAAAAGTATCTGACAAAGTCCAACACCAATTCATGATGAAAACTCTAAAGGAAATTGGAATAGAAGGTTTTTATCTCAATCTGATAAAAATCACGTTTGAAAAAACAACAACTAACATCATACTAAATGGTCAAAAATGCAAAGCTTTCATTCTAGTATCAGGAATAAGGCAAAGATACCCACTATCATTACTACTATTCAATATAGCTCTGGAAAACTTAGCCAGAGCAAGTAGACAAGAGAACAAAATGGAATAAGGATAGGAAAGGAAGAAGTTAAATTGTCATTATTTGTGGAAACACTCCACCAAAAGATTGCTATAGAATTAATAGCCAAATTCTGTAGCATAGAAGGATGCAAAGTCAACACTAAAAGATCAGCAGAATTCCCGCACACAAGTAACAAACTCACTGAGACAGAAATTAGGCACACAATACCTTTCACAGTGGCATTAAAAAAATGAAATATTTAGGAATCAATCTAAAGCATATTATTTTCAAACTAGAAAAAGTCAAAAATAAAGAAAACTGTAGCACTCTGAAAAAGTACTGATATCACAGAGGATATCAGAAAATGGAAACACATCCCTTGCTCTTTTGTAGGAAGAAGCAATATAGTGAAAGTGCTCATACTTCCCAAACTGTTATACAGATTTAATGCAATCCCAATCAAAATACCAATAACAAACTTCACAGAAGTAGAGAAAATATTCCTAAGATCCATTTGGAAGCAGAAGAGACTTAGAATAGCAAAGGCAGTTCTGGGCAATGAAGGCAAGGCAAGAGGCATCACAATCCCTGACTTGAAATTATACTACTAAGCTACTGTGATAAAACAGCATGGTACTGGCCAAAAACAAGACCTAGGGATCAGCAGGACAGCACAGTAGATGCAGAAACAAGTCCAAATACACTCAGCCACCTTTTCTGGGACAAAAGGGCAAATTACTTCACTGGAAGAAAGATAGCCTCTTTTAATAAATGGGGTTGGGAAAATTGACTTTCCACATGCTAAAGATTAAACCTAGTCCCAAATCTCTTACCATGTACTAAACTAAAATTGAAATAGATCAAAGATCTAAATATTAAAACAGAAACACTCTGCTGAAAGAATAGGTAAAACTCTTGAAGACACAGCTATAGGTAAAGACTTCATGAGTAAAACCCCAATTACACAAGAACTATCACAAAGAATCAACAACTAGGATCTCATCTTATTAACAAGCTTTTACACAGTAAAGAAACTACCAACACAGTGGAGATAACACACAGAATGAGAAAGAAATTTTTATTAGCTATTCCTCAGACATAAGACTAATATATAGGATATATAAAGAATTCAACAAATCAGACCTTCAAATTAAAGAACCCAATCCAAAAATGGGCATCTAAAATGAATAGACACTTTTCAGATGAAGAAGGAGAAATGGCAAATAAATGTAAGAAAAATGTTCAACATCACTGGTCATTTGATAAATACACATAAAAACAACACTGACATTCCATCTCACTCCAGAAAGAATGGCTGTTGTCAAGAAACCAACCAATAACAAATGCTGATGATGAGTAGGGGAAAAGGAACCCTTTTCCACTGTTGGTGGGAGTGTAAATTGGTGCAACCACTATGGAAATCAGTATGGAAATTCTTCAAAAAACTATAATTAGAGGTTCCATTTGACCCAGGTATTTCCCTTGGGACCCTTCTCAAAGGGTTCCAAGAGTTAAAAGAGTTAAAAGCATCACACCATGGTGATATATGTACACCCACGTTTATAGCAGCACAATTTGTAACAGCTAAATCTTGGAAACTGCCCAAATGCCCACCAGCAGATGAATGGATAAAGAAAATGTGGTTTTTATATATATGATGGAGTACTACACTGCTGTAATGAAGGATAAACTTGAGACATTTTTAGGTAAGTGGATGCACCTTGAGAAAATAATTTTAAGTGAAATAGATCAGACAAGTTTAAGTATCACATTCTCTTGTGTGAGAAACCCAAAGGGTAAATAAGGACTAAAAATGGATGACAGATATTGGGAAATAGGAAAAAAATGTTCATATAGGAAAAGGAACAAGGGATTGGAAAGGGGGAAGGGAAGAAATGAAAGAGAAAAAAAGAATAGAAGGGAGAAAAATGGAAACAAAGCTTTTATAAATGGGGAGGGGAAAAGGGCTTATGGAAGGGGAGAAAAGATGAATTAAGATATGATATGTATAGGTGCAAATTTCCTATGATGAATGTGATCATCATGTATATTAAAGGTGTGACAAAATTAATTTGAAAAATTAAAAATATAGATTGTATTTTAAACTTTTGGAGGCAAGCAGCAGAAACATTCCCTATCACACTCAGGATATAATCAGCAAAATTCCTAGTATAAAGTATATTACCATGATGATTATTTATTCATTTTGTAATTAAAACTTCCTTAAAAATATTTAAAGGGAGAAGATAAAAGCATAACTTCTGGAATAAGTTGCAACTCTATTAGACTAATTGGTGTGGTTTACTTAGGCTAGTTCTGCAAAACCTTAAGCTAACAGGACTCACGCTGGATTTGTCCCAGGCCCCTGTACACGCTGCACACTACATACAAAGTGGCTTCTCACCACGATGCAGCTGAGGGAAGAATTGGAAGCAGGTGCTAAAACAAAGGTCCATGGGACATTTGCAACTACTTGTCAGAACTCACATCACCTTCTCTAGTACTCATTTTATTTATTTCTAGCTTTAAATTTGTGGGAGAAAAACATCTAACAAATAATTGCTTGTTTGCTATCCATCTACTGTCTGAGATTATTCTGTAAACACTTCCTTATACAATAATAAATATACACCTTTAAAAATGTGCTTACCAAGGCAGAATGGTTGAAATACATTCGTCAGCGGAAACTCAGTCTTTAAATTTATTACTTGAAAGACAATGCTGATTAACCAGGACTTGACAATGTCAGGACATGGTTTAAGCACTGAGTAGGTAATAGCATAGAAAGCATATCGAAACCAGGACACAAGTGGAGTGACAATCCTGCCGTTGGGTGTTTCAGCGATTCGTTCAATTGTCGGGAACAGCAAAAACGAGTGAATGACCTACAATAAAATAAGAAACTTTGATGAAAAGCTTTTTTAAGGCATAGCCCACTGCTGTATTATTTCTTCTACATAGTAGTGACAAATGACTGTGTTTTAGAAGGTGACTAGAGGCCTGTTCAGACTGAGAAGAATTACTAACTACGTATGGATAGGGATATAATGATTCCTCTTGAAATACTGGGGTTATTTTCACGGTGGCAAGGAAAGAGTTTCCTAGATAACTGCTAGTCTGCATTAGCAATTCATAATTTCCTTGAAGGACTGCTGAAATTAGGAACTAATTTCAGCCATTTTAGCAGTTATATAAGACCAACTGACTAATGATGATATCTGAAGAAAAAGGTCATATAAACGTCTATTTTTACTCAGCATTATTTTCATTGACTATATTTGAAGAGTGTTCTCTGGAACAGCTCTTCTATTCCTTCATGTTACCAGCCAAGCATAATCTTTAACAGAACCAAGTATTTTCCTAACAATGGATTCAACCTTAATAAAGTATAAGCCAGATAGGTACCAGGGAAGCTGGGACTCTCTACTACTCTGGGAAAATGTTTAAGGACAAGAACATCATTTCAGCTCAGTGCATCAGAATAACAGGAAATATATTTTAGTAACTGCAGAAGAAAAAAGAGCATTAATAAAGTTATTTTAAGTATATCATTATTTACATTATTTTCTGAAATTAATATATATACACGCATATACACTTTCAAAGGGGATCAGTAAAGTCAAAATAGCTAAATACAATCCCCACAAAATTAAGAGAGTAATATAAATGCAACAGATCAAATTATTAACAGACTGGAGAACTTTTTTCTAAAACCAAATCTTAAATTGTTAACTTTAACACATATGGTAGGACGTATGATTAAAAATATAGTGAATATTTATTTACAAAAATTTATTACAGAAAGACACCTTGCTGTTGATCTCTCTTAAAATACTTCTTTGAACACACTTATCTCTTCATTCTTGCCACTTTCTGAAGCATTTCTGAAGTCCTCTTTCATGTCTTTAGGTGTGCTGTTATGGCTGCCTTGATGTTCTGTACTGATTCAAAATGCTTACCTTTATGGTCATTAAGACTTTGGGGAAGAGCCAGAGCTGCATGGTATCAGATCTGGTGAACTAGATGGATGAGGACACACTGTCATGATTTTATGACTTTGCCTTTCTGTTGAGGCACACAGCACCATTTTTTGCATTTCTCATCACACCTGGCAAAGACATTCACAGAAAAGAACTTCCAAAACAGCTTCAGAAAGTGACAAGAACGCTAGTACGTATTTGAAGTGAAGGGAGTATTTCAAGGGGGATTAATGGTAATGTGGCTTTTATTGTAATATATGTTTAAAATTTTAAACAGTCACTGTATATTTTGATCAGACCTCGTGAAGAATATACAAATATATTATATAACAATTATAAAACAAATACTTAGGTGTGCTAAGAAATGAAATACTGCTAGAGCTCTGCTTGTGTTTATTCTAATCACAAGTCCTTCCTCTGCTCACATCTTAGGTAACCTTTTTCTCATATAAATATTCTCTTAATAATAAAATTACTTCTTTATTTTGTTTCACATCAATACTTATTGTCCCTTAAATACTACAGCTTATTTTTGCTAGTTGTCTTGGTTATTTTTCTCTTGCTGTTGAAACAAAATACCCAACACCCAAAATTAAGGAAGAAAAGGTTTATTTAGCTCACAGTTTGTGGAGGTTTCAGTCCACACTTGGCTGGCTCCAAGGCAGAGTGGCATAGGGCAGAGGGCAACAGTTCATGGCAGCAGAAAACAGCAAAAGTAGCAAGAGCAAAACGGGGGAGTGGCAGAGAGCAAGCCTCTTTCCCTCCCTTACATTATATGCAAACTACCCACCCCAGGGCAGGTGTAGCACTCACACCCATAATCCCAGCATTGGACCATGGATCAATCAAAAACTCTAGAAGTCTACCACATGACTGTATGAGAATCTGGGGGGCACATTCAGACACAAACCATAACACCAGTTTATGAACTTCTCCACAGTGTGCTTTTGTGGTTTTACTTAGCATTGGACACTTTATAAGATTCATCTATGTTGATTTATGTTGCATAGCTTGTCTATTTTTGCTATACAGTTTGCCACCGTATGCATATACTAGAAGTTATTTATTTTACTGATAAATATTTGAGTTGTTTTCAATCTTTACGTAGATCTGAGATTCTAATCTATATTTTTTACTTGCTGCAGAACTTTAAACACTTCTTGCATGGGAGTTCCTTACAACAAATTGGTTTCACCTGAGAAAGTTCTTGTTTTTCCTTTACTTTTGAAGGATAATTTCATAGATCAGGATTCAAGGTTAGTGCATTTTTTTTCCTTCTCTATACTTTAAATATTTCATTCAAGTCTCTTCCTCCTTACATGGCTGCTGAGAAGGTGAATGTGATTCTTGCCTTTGTTTCTCTATAGGTAACATGCTTTTCCTTTTGGCTTCTTTCAGGAATTCTTTATTTTTGACTTTTTGTAGTTTGAAAATAATATGCTTAGTTTTACTTTGTTTTGCTTGCTTTGTTTTTTTGCTGGCAGCTATTAATCCTGATTGATGTCCTCTGAGTTTCCTGGATCTGTGGTTTGGTATCTGATAGACAATGATTTGAGAACTCAGTCTTCACCATTTGGAACATTTCCTCTGGTTCTCTTTCTTCTCATCCCATAGTCCTTGGATGTTTTGTTCTGTTTTTTTTTTGGTCTTGGTTCTCTTTTATGAGCTTGTGTTTTTGTTGAAGGCATTCAGGAGTAGCATTCACCCAATTTTTGATCAGACCTGGTAAAGAAGCTCACAGAAGCATCAGTTTCAGTTTTGGAACTTTCTACTGAGGTAACCCTAAGGTCAGAAGTATTTTCGCAGCCATGCTCATCTATGAGTAAGCCAATCAAAACCATTCTTTGTTTGTGTTACAGTGATTTTTTTTGGAGGTGGTACTGAGATTGTACCCAGGGCCTTCACACTCACGTATGCCCAGACCTTCCAACATTTTTTATTTCGAGACAGGGTCTCACTAAGTCACTAAATTGCCCAAGCTGAGCTTGAACTTGTGATCTTCCTGTCTCAGGCTCTCAGAGTGCTGGAATTACAGGTGTGCACCACCACAGCCTACTATTATGTTTTTGATTTCTAACATTTTAGTTTTGTCCTTTATAATTTCCGTATTTCTCTTCACATTGCTTACCTGTTCTTGTATGCTACTTTTTCTATTAGAATCTTTAGAATATAAGTTCTAGTTGTTATAATTTCTAATTGGTAGTTCTAACATTTCTGCAAATCTGGGTCTGAAGCTCATTCCATCTCCTCAAACTATGTATTTTTTTTGCCTATGTGTCTACCTTATAACTTTTTTATTAACAGCTGGAATGATGTACCAGGAAAAAGCATTATACAATCTTATGGACTTTTAAGGATATGCCTCTGGACTATGAATTCACAAGTGTTTCTCAGTATTTTCTCCCCGCTTAGGATTAAGAAGATAACTAGAGTGGGCTGGAGTTGGGTGTTTCCCTTCTACAGCAAGAAGGTTAGAACTGATAAGCGGAGTATTTTTTCTTTCTCCCAGGTCAGCTGGGCTTCGATAAAACCCTAGCAGGTTAGGAACTGGTTAACTAGTTTCTTCTGAGTGTAAGCCTTGTTAAGAAGAGCATGGTGCTCTGATACATTTCAAAATGGTTTCTTTCCACGTTCCATGCCAGAAGCATAAGGGGATTTTCTCCTAATATTTATTATGAGAACCAGATTGGGTGCCTGTTACGACTTTTATCTAGATGGTCCCTCAAAGCCTCTTGTGCTCATAGGTGGAGCTTCTGGGAGTGACTGGATCATGGATATGTAATACTGTATCACAGATGTGTGGTACTGGATCAGTCCATAGATGGGTTTAACACAGTTCTGGGTGTGGATGAGGGCCTTATAGAAGACTCAATCTGGATGTGGGTGGCAGCAACCAATGGGCTTCTGGCCTGGATAGAATAAAAAGGGAAAGAAGGAAATCTCGCTTTGTGTCCTGCTACCCTGACTTGGAGTTAGACTATGAACTGAAACCTCCATAAACTGTGAGACAAAATAAACCTTTGCTCTTTTAACTCATGGATGCTGGATATTTTGTCCTAGCAATGAGAAAGTAACTAAGTGCCTGAAGGTAACTGCACAAAATTGTGAAGCTCCCATATGGCTGGGTCTCCTTTAATTCTTAACTTTCAGAGTTATCCACCAGCAATTTGTCAAATATAATTCAGCTTTGCCTATCATGCCATTGATTTCTCCTCAAGAATCTATATTCTGGTAGGCATGATACCCTGTATTTTCCTGTTTCCATCTCTAATTGATCCAAGAAAAGTTGTCATTTTTTTTTTTTCCCCAGTCTGGCTTTTTACTTCTTAGGATGAAGTAGCAATTTTCAAGCTCCTTATGTGTAGAAATGGAAACCAACAGGCCTGTTAAAATTTCTGTATGCATCTCTCAGTATATGTTTACATGTAATTCTGTTAGATATATTACTTCAAAGCAGAATACTGGGTCATATGGTATTCATAATGTTCAGCTTTACAGATAATTCCAAGTAGTTTTCCAAAGTAGCTGCACCAATTTATTCTTCTACTACAGATGTACAAGATATATAAAGATTTCAATTTCTCTACATCCTTACCAACACTTATTAATCTTTTGCTTTTTAAAACAACCATCCTAATATGAGTTAGGTGACATACTATGATTTTGATTTGTATGTCTCTGATTAGTGACATTGAGTACCTTTTTCAAATACCTGTAGGCCATTTCTATCTTCTTTGAGGAAATGTCTATTTAAGTTTTTTGCCCATTTTTAAGTTGGGTTCAGTCTTTCATAGTTTTTTTTTTTTTTGGTCTTAAGAAATCCTTCTCTAACCCCAAATCATGAAGATACATTATTTTTTCATTGAAAACAATTTCTATACATCATATAATGCTACCTCTTATCT